TTTTGTCACACATTTAAGTAGCTTCATTTTTTTTTTTTTTTTTGTCAAGTCTGTCTGTTACACCCCTCGTACACTAATATTTATTTGTCATATTTTTTGAATAAAATATAAATAATTTGTTTTAAATTTTTAATAAATTAAAATTTACTATTGTATTAATTTTTATAAAATGTACCTAATGCACTATAACTATTCAATGTTAAATTGTCATAAAACCATTTTTTCTCAAAAAAGTCATAAGTGCCTCATAGGTATAATTTAATTTAAATACCCAGGAAATGCAGAGCTTAAGCACCCTCAGTTTTTATGTTGAAATTGCGCCTATATACATAAATGGTTTCTATAATATTCGTCGTTGTAACACTAAATCGTGTAAGGATTTTCAAGCTTTCAAACGGCTGCCTTGAAAAGTTGATTAAATTTACATAAGTCCTTTCTACCTGAGACCAAAGTTATAAATAAATTTGGATTTGAGGAATGACAAAAGTAGATGATAATAAATAAGTACCTAATAATAAGTAATAGGTATCAATAAATTGTGGTAAATAAAAAGGATGGTAGGCAGCGAGAAATTGGAGATGAAAATGGACTACAGCTAGGCCTATTGTTATAGTCAGCTAACGCATTCAATTAATTTCCTCAATATTGCATTTATGAATGCTTTCAATTCATTCTACGAATTCAGTGTGAGGGCACTCTAGAACTATGTATGTTTCACTGTTTTTTCTGCTTCAGTGCTCCACCAGCTTTAACATGATAATGTTTTTAAAATGTTGGGTCGTCAACCAGGACAATTGGCGAGATATTTTGCGTGACTCAGCCACTGTAAAATACTTGATAATATTATCATAGAAAAATAAGTAATACCTAATATTATTATGTTTCCGTAGTAGGTGCAACGATACATCATCATATCAACGGTATGAAAATATTGACATCCATGTAGAGTATAATACATGTGTTCACATTTATATTTATATTTATATTTCTAGGCTTTTTTTCCTTGGGCTTTTTTCCCACTTACCTACTCCACAGAACGAATTTTTTAACCAATTGGTGTCATCTTCACTTCTCAATGTTGCAAGAATCATAACTACGAACAAGAACGCTTTACTTTGCCATACGATTATTTCATTATCATCATCGAGTCACGGAGCCCCCATTTCAGTTGTTTAACTGTAATTTTCACTTTTTACCGCATTGCGGTCTCTTTCTTCATCTCATAAGACGTTCAACAAATAACACGTAAATATGATGCAAAAATGTTATATTTACACCTATACAGTATATCCTATAATAATACCTATATTTATGTGATAATTTCATGTTCCACGTCGTACAAAACAAAAATGTGTACAAATGTTGTGATGCTTCTATACTTCTAGCATTAGTTAAAAATCTGACGTTTTTTTCTCGTGAAATTAAGTTTAAAATTAAGTTGAGTAATAATTATCCTAGCTAAAAAGTGAAATGCCAATTTATTGTACATATTATATCATACAAAACTAAAAAGTATTTTTGAAATGGGATTTTTTTATAAACTGTTTTTGTTTATAAATGGTTCCAGGCTCCATATTATAATATATTAACAGTATAGAAATTAGTAGAAAAAAAAAAAATGAAAAATGTTTACCACTTGTTACATACAATATAACTACATCAAAAACCCTTCGTAAACCATTTGTAAAAATAGCTAAGTATAATTTATTTTGTTCCAATAATTTATTTACTTGGCAAGGAATTATTTCTTAAAAGAAACAAAGTGTGATGAACAAAATAATTAAATGGCGAAGGACTATTAAAATATAACTTAGTATTATTTTAAAAATATTATTATTAATATTTATATACTATTCTAAATAATTCCTAGTCAAGTAAATAAATTATTGAAATAAAATAAGTTTACTTAAATTCAATATACTTAGAATTTTAGCATTTATTCATGATATCACATCTTTATAGTGCTTATTGCTTAAAGTTCTTATATTTGTTTACTTAGCTATTTATATAAGTAGTTTACGAAGGGTTTTTGTTGTGATATCACTAATTTTTATCGTTATTAAATAATATTGAGGATTTACACAATGATCTATAAGAACGGTAATATTGTTGGTAACATTGGCAACGCTGTTGCGACGACAACGGCTACTGTGATTCTGAATTTAATATAAATTTCCATTAAAAAGTTCGCACTTTTTCATTTATAACTGAATAATTAAACGTAAAATGTTAATGGTTTTTACAAAAGGACGTTCTACACAATATTTCTGATGTTTTGGAGTTTACTAGGAGTTAATTGATGCATTAGAAAATTAGTGGCGCTGGATAAATTGTTATTATGTTTTGATACAACAATTTTAACTTATAATTAAGTTTACTTCCACTCTGTTATATTCCACCTTTAATTCTTTCAAAATAAATTACTTATTGTACAAAATGATGTACAGATTGTACCTAATTATTCTTTTAATAAATAAATAGTAAAAAAAATAAAATGTATAACTTTGATATTTGGTCACTATATTATTTATCCGAGTTGGTTTATACAAAGTTAATAGACTAAAAAACTACTGGAACGTTTTCCGTAAGATTCAGATCAATAGATTCCTTAGTCCTTATAGGTGTTAATATCTTATGTATAACCTTTATAGGTTATTTAAAGGTATTTAAAGGGTGTAGTCGTCTGTGCTTAAACGATGGTTCATAATTCCGGCGCATCCGAGTTGGGTCCCGAGTACTAGGGATAAATCGTAGTTACTACACTAGTTGGGTACTGGATTTTTTTAGGTACTACAGTAGTTGGGTCTGGCATTATTTTAAGTAAATATACAATCCAAACGAAAAATGATATTGAACGATGGAGATGCATTCAGAGATCATGTAAGTCATTTTTTTTTAAATATTACAACGATCAATTTATCAAAATTTATAAAAGACAAAATTAATCAAAAAAATGCAGGAATAATAAATCGATTGGATTTTGCAAAATTAATGTCTTATCAATTTTTACCAACACACGTGTGATTTCTTTAAGCAATATTTCATTTATAATTTATATTATACAATACCTATGTATTTTTTATATTTGATTTATAACAGTTTTAATATTTTTCTTTGTTTAGTACCTGCATTTTATTGCCATTTATTATTCAAATAAAATTCTAATAATTTATATTTTTAAAGGCAAATAAACTAAAAAAATAAACTGTAAAAAAACATTTTTAACCATAACTTTGGTCTAAATCAGTGTTTCCCAACCTTTTTACCACCACGGACCACTTTGACAATATTTTATAGGTCGCGGACAGAGTTGGGCAAAATTTTATCTAGATAATTATTCGAATAAATCTGTATTCGAATAAAAAACTATTCGAATGTTTTTTTTACAATTATTCGAATAAAAATGTATTCGAATAATTTTCAACTAAGATTTTTCGAATAAAAAACTATTCGAATAATTTTCAACTATGATTATTCGAATAAAAAACTATTCGAATAATTTTCATCTATGATTATTCGAATAAATTTTAAAGACGGTTATACGAATAATTCTTAGTTATTTAATTTGATTAAACATACCTAGTTCATAATAAAATAATTTTTTTAGATATTGCTATTATCGATCTATTAGGATTGTTGTAATAATTGTTATGAAATATTATTCATATTATAATATTATAAAACTATTGTTAAAATATAATTTAAAAAAACATATCTAATTTTCTAATTATTAACTTTCTTCTATTGATAGATATTTGTTTATTGTTTATTCGAATATCTATGTTTAAAATTGAATCGGTTAATTTTTTATTCGAATAACAATAGTTGAAAATTTTCATCAATTTTCTCATCTAGATAAGATTTCATTCGAATAACGCCCAACTCTGGTCGCGGACCACCTCAATTTTACTCAAACTAGGAAGACCTTTTTTTTTTTTTTTTTTGCTCATTGACAAGAATAAACAAAAATGTATTGGAAAAATTTTATTATTTTAGTGTACTATTATATATAATTATTAAACTTTACTAATAATTTACTTAGTGTGATTTTTGTATAAAGATAACCGTATATTACGGTAAAATAAAATATTTTTCACCTGTTTAAAAAAAAAAAATAATTTTTAATAGAAAACTAAGAAAGGTACCGCGGACCACCTATGACTGGCCCACGGACCACCGGTTGGGAAACACTGGTTTAAATAGACAGACTTAGGACTGTTAAAATGGGAAGGAAAATAAACTTTTGTAGTAGGTACTCAAAAAAAAAAAAAATTCCGGACCCAACTAGTACAGCATTTTTGAATTCGGGACCCAATTCGGATGCAGCCCATAATTCATATTATATTACTATTATAATAAATTAGTAGAAATATGGCTTATATTTTTTACAAATATATTTATAAAAAAACTAATCTTTAGTAAGGGTAATGACGGGTTGGAAAGCATGATAGGTAATAATAAATAGAGAATAGGTAGCAGCCGTAGTTGTTACTCCTTACACTATATTATATTATTATAGAGACCCATTTAGTCACTTCTCGTTATAGGCAGGAACAACCTATGGGCTATGACACGCCTACGATATTTTAGTGACACACTCAACTTGTATTTGTATCGTTCAATCTACTGATGAAGAAATTTTTAAGTTTAAAAAAAGGTCATCAAATTAGTTGACAAGCAGGGCAAATAAAATCCAACCAACATTTCTATTTGACACTCGGGTATAGAAAGGTTCACCATCCCTGACCTACGATCACCCCTAAAAAAGTGTGGAAGGGAGGAAGGGGGTACATGAGAGGGCATATTTTATGACAACAATTTCACTATGTGTGGACCTATAAAGGATCGCGCCGATGTACTGTTTCCGACATCAGTGTTAGATTATTATCCGGAGTACTATGTGATCATCACCGAACACCGACTACTCTGCGTGGTCCGCCAACATTTAGACATTTATATGATGTGCCGAGATAAAACAAAACGAACAATGGGTCTCTCACCTCGGGCGTGCAGACGTGATTCAGGCAGTAATAGTTATCGTTGTCTGCGGAGTGGCACCAAGTTCCGTCAGGGAAGTACGGATCGACCGGTAAGTTTGACACGTCCAACCTGGGCGTGTAGAACGACCCGGTGTCCTTGCGTCTGCAGAACACCGAACATCCCATCCACGGGCGGGCTGCAATAGTATAACAATAAATTACGAGTAAAATATAATATTATGCGAATGGAGCACATTATTAAATAAATATGCAACATCGTAAGAGATAGATACGCCAGCAAAGAGGAGTGACTTAAACTGATAATGATATAGCTACGATGATATAATAATAATAATAATAATAAGTGAGACATGTACATGTCCCACTATAATATATTATGGCATTTCGCTTACGATATAGTATGCGATGATTTACACAGATTGTTGTAGCTATAATAATAATAATAATAATAATAATAATAACGGCAATAATAATTATTGTGATAGAGTTTATAACGCACCGACAACAATATAATAATACTCGTACCTATGTATAAAAATATGTATAGTATAATATTTTACGAGAACTCTGGAAGTGGTCGTGGAACAGTAATAAACGTGTCTTTGTGCATTATGTGCGAATAAAACAAATTCAGCAGCGTGTAGTCATTGCATTTTTTTGTCAAACAACCCTTTGTGTAGAATAAAAAAGAAAAATATTAAGACTTATCAAGCGTTTGTGTTTTTGAATATTTTGTTATTATTTTTTAATAAAGAATAAAAACGGATACGTATTAATGTATTATAGTAATATCGTGTTTGTTGTACCTACTACTCGTGTACTTAAAATGAAAATTCGACAAATATTGTTCGATGCGTATGTACATTAAACTGAATTAAACACTATAAGTTGATAAAATTTAGTAAAATTACGATAAGCTTGCATCATGATGTAGATTTGGCCGGAAACGGAAAATATATAATAACATAATTGATTCTTTTGTTAGGCAGACAAAGTTGTTTAAATGCATTTAAATTTTAAGGAAATAAAATAATGTTTTGTTTGCAATTCTATAAATTATTGTACTTAATATGTATCTCGTGCATTTAATTTTTGTAACACGGAAGAATGTTACATGACGAGCTCATCAGCGGCCAATGTTCAACGACCCCCGGAATAGACAATTTTATGAGAGGAGATTCAATTGTTGATCTAAAGAGTTTTGTATTCGTGACTAGTATACATCATACTATTTTAATCACCACAAAGTCCTGACATTCGTTTATTAGTCATATATTTGATAATAATAATTGAATACATACCAGTCTTGGCGTTAAGTTACATTCATCGTAATGGTGCAGTTGTTGTAAGACGACGATAATTAATAAAATATATAGATTGAAAATATACATATAAATCGTGCCGATTATTAGTTGTCATATTGAATAATAACTAATTTAGGGCGGTCCACACATGACTCATTTTTGACGTGCAGGAAAGGAGGACATAGTAAATTCGTGACGTACCGATTGGCCAACACACTATTTTGCCATCACCCGATTTGCCGACATGCATTTTGCATCCCGATTTGCATTCATTGACAATGAATTACATACACTTAAAAATATTTTTTTTTTTTACTGTTTTAAATTTTTATAAATTACGAACATTGTTCAAGTCAACTACCGCATTATATAATATATAGCTATTATATATAGGTATTAGTATTGATTATATTATTGAATACCTATATTAATGATATTAGCTAAATATCATAAACAACATTATTTTTATATCTGAGATCTGAACATTTAATATAAATTCCCTCGTAAGTAGGTTATGATGGAATCAAAAGATGTAAGAAATACATTCGCATAATAATTTTTTTTTTTGATATTTTAAGTATAAATTGGACGATAAATTAGATATTTATACGAAGAATGACGATTTAGTTATTTAATTATAATTAAAAAATATTTTTTGTAGGGATTTGAAACTTATACATATATTATATTAATTATATAGGTATACATATTATTAGCTTAGCAACTGTCCAAACCCACCTACAACAAGCCATCAAAAATCTGCTTAAATGAACCCAGACATCTGGCTTCACTTTCTCACCTGAAAAATCACTATGCACAGTGTTTACACGTAATCACAATCAAAACTCTATAAACATAAAAATGGGTGATTACCAATGAATAAATAATAATATTATTAAAATATTCGGCATTGCATTCGAAAAAAGATGCTCCTGGACCCACCACATCAACTCCTTGAAATACTCAATCTCTCCAAGTCTCAATATTATAAAAATGGTATCCCACACATCATGTGGTTCCAAAACTCATGTTCTATTAATATTATACAAGTCTACAAGTCACTAATACTTTCTAAACTCGACTATGAATCCTTTATTTGGACAACGTCACATAAATCAATATCAAAGAGACTAGATAAAATCCACAACTCAGGTCTTCGTATGTCAATCGGCGCTTATCGTTCAAGTCCAATACCTAGTATATATAATCTTGCCTGTACATATTCTCTGGATATAAGAAGACTCAAAATAACATTGAATCACGAATTAAAATTAGCAAGTATCCTTCCTACTCTTGACTTCAAACCAATATTTCAAATGTTACCAACACTACTCCAGGAGAACAACCTTGATACTTCTAAAGTACTCACTATTACTCCCACTCTCGCCCTATGTGTGTATGTTAGGAAAGCAATGAAACTTCACTAGACTATAAAATTAATTAACTGTTAAGACGTGATAAGTATCAGCATATCATGGAAACAAATTGAACTCGTTGAGTAAGAACAGTTATAGTTACTTTTAAAACAAAATTAACTCATCATGTTACTTTTTAACTTAACTTTATCAGTTCAACTGGTCATTGGTGATCGGTCCTGGTTATAGTATATGATGATGATTGCGGTAATGCGGTGTGATTGCTTCGATGGTATTATTATTATAATGTTGTGTCGAAACATCGTACTACACACTCGACGACGACAACAGTGGTAAATATTATCATCGTTACATCGTTATAGGATCATAACAAAAACACTAAAATATTATAATGTCTTACACGGCAATAATTTTAAACGGAGCCAGTTAAGCGTGAGTTACGAATTATATCACTCGATCAAACACAACAATCGTGTATTTGTTCTGTATATTAGCAAACACGCTAACATTTTTAAAATGCGTTTTAAAAGACGTACTACTTGCTACCAGTCGTAACGTACTTATAATGTTACGAACTTAAAAAAACTATACGAGTTAGGTTAAGGTTTATAATAAAGTTATGCGCACAAAAGACAATACTGGGTACATAATACGTCTTTTTTTGTGACTACCTATAGATAATATTATTGTGTACAAATGCATCGATCAAAGTTTATACCTATACACGGCAATACGTGTGTTTCTACAACATAGGTAATAATATGAAACAGAGAGAATTCCATTTTCATATTTGGTATTGTACAAAACAATAATCGTACAGTTTAAAGAAATAATCATACATTAATATTGTTTCGATCGAATAGATATAATAAATAAATAATCAACTCTCATTCTATCGACAAATTGATAATTTCTCCAAACACCGATCAATGTATAATATTGGATCTAGGAAATTAACTTAATATCGAGTAAAAAAGGACAGGTACATTTTATAAATTATATAGAATAGATCTTAAGTGGAATAATCTGCAAGAACTAGGAACTTAAGTCTTAGAATCTTTTGTAACTATAATATCTATGCGATTACCTACTACTATGTATTGTCGTAAATTATTTTAAATAATAAACTTTTTTTTTATTATGCGTTATTAGAGTGGAAACGTCGTTTCGTTCGGCTGGATTGGTCATCGAAATCGTTTTAATTTAAATTAACATGCACGCATTTCCCAAATACATAATATTATACTTAAATTTGGGATCCATTAATCCATTAATGTAGATTGCACTAACCGTCTTCGTGAGGTGCCTGCAGACCCGAGTACTCCTTGTCCAACGCCGGAAGTATGGAGGCCAATTCCTTGCACTTGGCCGTTGCGTATTCCGCAGCAGTCGTCTTTTTGGACTTCTGGCACGTCTAAGAGACACAAGACGAAATGTTTATAAATAATACTAGTAAATTCATTATGATACGTAGCGGTTTTGCAATGAATCAAAAAACGGTTTGGACCAATGATTCTCAATTTGTTCAAAGCAACTACACCAAAATTAGGTATTACATTTTATCTCGACCACTTCAAACTTTCCTTTATAGTTTATATGTATATAGACACTCAAATCGTGCTTAAGTATAAAACAAAGTGGCTGAAATCATGTGTTTAGGCGATTCTCATAAATAATTATATATTCTGTGAGTAATCCCAGGTCAATAATCACTTGTATGGACTATAATATTAATTTAGGTTCATAATAATATTATAATACACCTTGTCGTCTTTGCAGAGAACGGCTTCATGTCTGGGCCCCTCGCATCCCTCGTCCGTGTTTATCGGTTTCGGATTGTTGCACGTCCTCGTCCTGGACCTGAAACCTATAACAAACGTGGTACGTCGTCGGGCGGCGCATTGTTGTTACGTGGCGATGAATAAAAGTGTGGAAAAATAAATAAACAAAAAAAAAACCCACATACCTTTTGACTTATGTATACACCCCGACGTACACTCGTGCACCTTCCACTGACTCCATCCACCTTTTATGATCTTTTTGGGTTTTTTCGGTTTGCCTTTAACGCATTTTCCCGCCTCGCACCACTGCGTTTGAAAAAAAATCGACAACAATAGGTTCAATCCCGGGTAACCCGTAAAAAGCTTTTTCAATTTAGAGTGGATTAAAAAAAAAAAGTGTTCGCGTCAAATCGGTTGATCGAATTAAGCCAAACTATATATATCATTATATGTACAACCTATATTTCCTTCTCTGGCCACAATACACGTAATATTACATAAAAGTACGCGTCGTCGTTTGCAAAAAATATTGTTCAGTAGTAACGGCGTGTTATATATTACTTGTACCTAACTATATTACTAAATCAGTTTACCTATATAAATAAAAGTTAAGTTATTCTCAATAGTACCTGTCTGGCTGTTATAATTATTATAGTCCAGGGCTCGGCACTTAAAATGCCAACAAATTTAAATGATAAAATTAAGGGCATACAAAAATACCAGTTAACTTGACTATGAGTATACAAATAAACAAAAACGACGATCCCAAAATGTGTGATATCGGCCTTGAACCCCAAATAATAAAATATAGGTTCTCCCTTCAAAACATAATGTTTTTCTCTTAAATTAAAAAAATAGATATTTTTGCATTTGCTTAGAATATTTTTTTTCCGAGACTACAAAAACTAGTTAATTTTTGCCACTGACTACCAACTGTGTTAACTCAAATAAGGAAATAAAGTATAACAAAAAAACCAAAAAAAAAATCCATCTTAATAAGCAAAACTTTCAAATTATTCATAGAAACATGGCATTAATTTCTATAGCACTCTGGTAGATTTTTGTCAAAACCAAAAAATAAGCAAAATAAGTCCCCAGTAAAAAACTATTACAAGCTTTATAAAAAAATTTCAATTTTAATATTAATATTTTTGTTATAGCTGACAATAGATATAATGTAATAAAAAAGTTAATATAATAAGTATAATTTAATATTTCGTGGATTATATTGTACGTCCATGAAGTTTGCCCACTGACTTCGCACAATCCATTCAAAATCTATGCCAAAATGTTGTGAGTAATTTGCTAGAAATTGAGAGTCCATTCACGGAATTTTCTAGTCATTCCTTCCACCCCTATTCGAGTGTAGGCCAACCTCTTGTAGCACACCCCCCTTACTCTAAATAATCCAAAATAGTATCAAAAGTATCATTTGAATTTGCTAGTACTCGTGAGTCCATCCCCGGAATTTGCTAGTCCACTGAATTCCCTCAGTTTTGTCTGGCTTCTTGGTCTAAGAATCAATTTTTTTTTTTATCGACTGCATCTTCCCGCAGACCCTTAATGATTTAATTTATGAGATGGAATTTAAATATATTTGGAAATATAAAAACAAACGAAATTTATGTTTCGATTGGTCAAATCCATATTAGTTGTGACTTTTGACAAAACCGATTGGGGCCCCTTTAATAAGAAAAAACAATTAAAACTAATAATCTTTTACGAAAGCATCTGCTTACTCATTTTTTTTGCTATCATTTTTAACAGCAATACAATTTTTTTTTTCAATATTATATACTATAGTACTAATCTGAAAATTGTATTGTTACAAATATATCAAAAATAAAATTCAAGGGATGCTTAAAAAATACGTCACTGCCTGTAAGTAATAACCGTATCGGACGTGTTTTCAAGCGTCGTGGCCTTTTTTTGTTTTAACTTGTATAGCGGCGGGTGTTCGACCTATAATTACCAACACTATTTAATGGCGTCTGGAAAACAGAGCGAGTGAGAGAGAGAGAGAGAGAGAGAGCCAGAGACGGATAGAGAGAGAGATAGATAGAAACTTTTAAAATGACATATTACCACACGGCTTGCATAAATATGTATAATAATATATAAATATAAATATAATAATGCGTATAATTACCAAGCTGGGTCCGCACGTGGTCCCTTCCAACGCTGGCCCGGCAAAATAATATCCAGGTCGGTTTGGCGTTTCGCATTGTAAATTTTCACATATATCCTAAGGAAAAACATACAATTAACTACAGCGTGTTCATAAAATTATTGTCAATTATTGAGATGAATATGCGTTTCGCGCATACGCCTATCGCCGTGCGTCTAAATATTGTTATTAGAATTGCATATAACATATACTGGTAAGTTATGTATATTTGTAATAAATAAAACTCTGCGATGATTATTCGTGGATCCATTAGTTTGTGAATTATATAGTTTATTATAACGATACGAATAGCGGCGTTCTTGTTTTTCCGAGCAAAATGTATTCAATTTGACAAGACAAAAATATTATTCGACAACGCTGTGGGTAAACAAACGTTTTGAAAAATTGGTAGATATAATATTATTATATAATTCGTTATATATTCATAGACTGATATGATATGTCCACTATTGTTTTAACAGATATTTTTTCATTGGTTTGTGTAAACATTTGTCCTAAGATTTTCCTTGCGGTTTTTATTTTAGGGAACGACTAATTTTTTATTCAACAGCAAATAATTTTTCATAGCAGACCCGATACACAATATTGTTTTTTTTTTTGTTGGATGTTGGATCGCCAACAATGAAGTCTAATATTTATCAAAGTTTAAAGTTTAGACGAGCCGCAGGGTGAGTGTTATAATATTATAGTGTATCAAAAATTCTCTGGATATTCCTAACAGGTATACAGCCAGTGTACTTATTTACTCTTCGTTTCTAAAGCTTTAAATGCTTGTACATAATATGGGTAATAACTATTATATATATCTGCAATGTTTAATGTTTTTATACCGACGTTTTAAAAAGACATCGTGTCTTAGGCAATTAAAATTTAAAAAAAAATAACCGAGACGGAGTAGAACACCTAAATTAAATTTCATAAAGTTGTAAACGGTTAATACCCCTACTTTAAACAACGTCGATAAACATAAAAAAAAGTACCTACAAACGTGTGCGTGAATATAGGTAGGAAGAAAGTATATACTGTTCGACTGAACTTGTGAGGGTAAATCGCAGAACAACACAATAATGACGCAGGGAAACACAATCAAAGTAATACCGTAGAGTAATAATGACGAAAAAAAAAAATCGGCCTTAAACGAAAAGTTAGAGACGACGTTCAACAATACAGTCGATCTTTTTACAGAACGACCTCCCGTGTAGATTATACTGGAAAACGCGGTAGGCCACGGATATTATTTAGGTATATATATGCCTGCAAAGTGCAACATCCGCAAGGAACGGAAAAGGTTTCAACGAAAAGGTACTCGACAAACTTTACGTCAATTACTGTTCTGTTCTACCAACAGTTTGTCCGTGTAATATGATCGCCGGTGGAATGGAAATACAAAATGCAGCTGTAACAGAGATGTAAACATGCTACGAAACACGTGTTATCAATGAGAAGAATTCTGTTCTTTCGGTGAGAAGAATACAACGCAATATTTAATGTGGCGACTAAAATATAACATGACATTCGATTCGTCGGTACTTGTTTGTTATGGCCCCTCCAAAAAAAATCTTTCAATGCATAATATTATTTTATTTTAATAGTTTTAAATATATAGTATAAAATGTATGGATGAATAGTATGTATAGTATACAATTTAAATGCAAAATTGCTGCAAATTATAATTGTAAGCTTTCCAACAATCTGACAAAATTATTGAGCCTGGTCTTATATATCTTTGTATTATAGGTAACAATGTTTTCTCCGATCGATCAGGTACACTGATTATAAAACACGCTTTAGTTTCCCAACATATTCCACCAAAAATCCATTGCTGTGGCAGAATACGCCCAGCATTATTTTTTCTACTCACAAATAAACTTTCATCTATTTCAACAAAAAGACTGGGACCGCCAATTTCTTTATTTTGATCATTTTCAAGTTTCCATACACATACGTCACAAAGATAATTACTCCAATAAACCACAGCATTTTGTCCCATATATAGTTCACGTTTACAAAATGTTACTAAAGACATTTCTAGGGGAAAGTAGTATATGAAATGGACAATTGTGTGTATTGGTAGTCTAGAACCAGTTAGCCAATTATTAATTCTCAATCCTTTTTCCTTTCGGCAACTTCTTTTCTGATATCGCCATCACGATCCCTTGATAAACATTGAATGGCCATTTTCACACACTTCACTAACTTTAATTATATTATGTTGTTGTAAAAAGCTAATTCCAGTATCACTGTTTGAAACAATTGTAAGTAATTCAGTAAAATTAATTTTAATATATTGAATTTAATTTTTCAGTAGTAGGCAATAAGTAAATGAAATGGTAAACGAAAGCTAGCAACAAACTAATATCCTATGTTATAAAAATGATAAAATGTAATTTTCTCATTTTCTAAAATAGATCACAAACGATTAGAAATAGCGATAAATTAAATGCGATGTACTGGAGGGGAGATAACAAACAAGTACCATTCCTACAGTAGCCCGAAGTTCGCCCACCTTTCTTTTTTAAACTCTAATTTTAAAACCTATAATTTGATCATTTAAATTATTTTTATATCAGACGTTGATCGTCGGACCCTCACTATTTCTCGTAAAATATAATAGAACTGGAAAACTATGAATTTTTATTTTGTCATACTTTAGAATATACAGTTTAATTTTAGCGTGGGTCACGAAATGTGCACCGCTGATGATGTAGACTGCCGAAGACGTGTTTGACAACTCTTATTTTTTATTGCCAATTATAAAAGTAACCGTGTGCATTAAAAAATACTTGTGCAAACCCTTAACCAGTCCTGCTCATATCTTAATTCGGGTAGTATCGCAGTGGATTACAATATAACCTTGTTTAATATAAAACCGGATGATGCGCACTTTCTAGCTTAGTCTGGGTATAGGAAAAACAAATGTAAACAAACCCTTTACCCGTTCACGGATTGGAGAAACGCCTGGATAGGGTAAAAATGTATACGTATTATCTTTTATGTTGAGATGGCGTTATCATTGGTAAACAGTAAGCACTATACATAATTTACTATATGCAAACGAAACAAGTTATCAGCGTTTTAATACAAATAAATTTGCAAGAAGATTTTATTATAGGTAACGACAATATATTATATAATTTATGTATTAAGCATTCCGAATTCGACGTTACGTGGTAAATGGTCATCGTATAACCAATATCGTATGCCCTCTTTAAACAATAACATACTGTACCTGCAATAATACTATATTCTCATTAATTGAGCTATTGCTAATTTTAAACCCGGGTGCTTATCACTCATGTGAGCTTTTGTCAACTACCTAATGCGCCGAACTATTTCATAATATATTATGTAAGACAACTCGTGCAATACGTCCTATCAAGATATTTAGTACAAATTGAAAATCAATTGGAAACCAAAACGATTTCTTACGTCTCATGCTGCAGATCGTAAGGTAAGTAGTTATTATCGTTAAGATATCGGAAACAGTAGGTGCACGGAAAATATTATTTTTCCTAACGACGCCCGACGTAGATACCTATCACTATTTTCGTTTCCACTACAGTGAGCAGCCGGCATCACGTTGCGCGGTAACGAGTCCGAGACAATATAAACATATAATAATATTATACTCGGCGTGTTTGTTAAACGAGGTGTCATTATGGCCGTTGTCGTGGCGACAAACTTACTTCTGGCTGCTGTCGCGACGAGTCCAAATTCGTTTCGGTGCTCATTACCCGGGCGTCGTTGTCCAATAACAGTAGTTCGCATTGTTTTTTTGCGTCCCACGCTTGGCCAGGCTTGTCTGCGAATTTGTTGTGATCCAACTTTTGGACCGCGGTCGAATGCCGACTACTGGACTGCTTGAAAAGACATTCGAGATTGCTGGAGCACAAAAAAAAAAAAAAAAATGTCAACGGAAAATTATATTATACGGTGGCCCGGCGTAGAATAATAATAATAATAATAATAATAATAATAATGTATTTAGTTCACCCCGGCAAGTCTGATGCACAGCGTAGTTGTATATACGTATTGTGTATTTTAATATGTCTCAGATAAACGCGAAGTCGTTCGGAAAATCGCCAACAATTATTATTCGTCTAGACTTTAGAGTGAACTAAATTAAAATCGACCAAAGTTACAATATTATTATGGCGGGGCATAATAATATTAATTGAGTACTAGGTCGCATTTCGTCCTGTAGGTACCAAATTATTAAAATACTAACACTGTACCTACTCGAAACCGTGTTTTTCGTAAACAAGTATAAGATATTGTTCAAGTTACAGTTTTTTCTCCCTTTATTCGTAGGTATACACTATACACACATTCACTACCATCGGAAATATTGAATCTGTTTTGAAATTATACTGAATTGAATACGTTAATATTATTAATATTATAAAGAACAATAATTGTGAATTAAAACTGTATGATAATATATAATAATTAGCGACCTATACGAATATGGATAACAATATATTATATGGTTTGGTTGAAACGTGGATAATATCGCATAATTTGCAGTAAATTAGAAAAATATAAAGTCATCGGGGAAGAGGATGTCACTCTGCTGTACAGTAGGATACACATGGGTCAATATATAATGGATTGTATTAAACTTGAATTCAATGTTATAATATAATTGTATAAGAAAAAAAAAACGATTCTGAGGAGACAGTTTGGATATTTTATATTGTTATTATTTATTATATTCTGTAAGTTAAATTAATATAATAAAATTATCATTTTTTATTCGTTTCTATGGTGATAAGCAAAGCGTTAGAAATTAAAATCCCATTTTTATCGGTTTTTTGTTATTTGAAAAATATAAAAATAAAAAAAATAAACACCATTGTAAAACCACTGGCTTCCTCGCTTCGTTCAGAATCTAAAAGAGTTCGTGTTCACTGTTCATGCTATCTGAGTTCCAAAAAAAAATAATTCGTTTTTATATATTTTAATATATTACACGAAATAAATAAAATACTAATAACTTATTTTTTAATTCCTAAACAGACAGCAGCTGCTATCTATCATTCAAATTCTCTTTGACTTATTAATTGTTTGATTGGTACCAAAAAGGTTTTATTTATGGGAGTTTACCAATTGACCTTTTCATATACCAATAATGTTGCTCTAAACATTGTAGGGTCGATAGACCAATTGCGCTCAAAACATTTTACACTACCTAAGGAAAAGTTATTAGTTAGTTTTAATCTATAATTATATATATATATATATATATTTTTTTTTATTGAGATTGAGCCCGGTAACTTAGGCCATTAGCTATATAATAATTATATAATAAATAACACTAACCGATTTTTTGAGAGTATTAATACATTATACATAATATACCTAATATAATATGAATAAATAATTTTTTCTTCACATTTAACAAGTTACTTTTTGATCGTCAATTATAATATACAGTTTTAGATAGTGATAACTTGTTTTCGTCCATCAATCAAATGCATACCTCCGTGATCAAATGTCCTTAATAATAATAACGTTTCATAAAATCCCCGATACCGTTATAAAATGTAATATGTATTATAACCAGTCACTCTAACCAGTAATCAATTGATCAATAAATACGTTTATAATTTTCAAGTATTTTAGTGTGTTTATGTTGTGAATGATGTTGATGGAATTAAATCAAACAACAATATTTCTAAATCTGAAGGTAGCCGCCAGTCAAATTTGAATACAAGGGCAATTGGTACACTAACCGTAAAATATATGAAGCGCAATTGGTACTCTGACCCTAAAATATAAGCTGCACAATTGGTATGTTGACCCTAAAATTCAAATTTTGTTTTGGCGCAATTGGTCCATGCCCTTATTTATAGTTGACGACCTACTTATCTAATAAAAATAAAAACATGATCATCATTCTATCATGAAAAAAATTGTAGGCACTGTGGTAAATTGTAAATTTGAGTAATAAAAAATCACAGATTAATTGACTTACTTTAGATTTGCCGCAACACTAGCACTGCATTCTGACCATAACAATTCTCCGGTAATCCCTCTCGATGGTGACATTATGAACCCTTCTTTCGGACAATTGTTCGTATTGCCATCGTGGTGCATACCTAAACTGTAGTGAAAAATAGTTTTAAGATTAAGAATCGAATGTTCCTATTTCCATTAAGTATAAGGTAATTGAATTATAGGTAACATTTAATACGGTAAAGCTGATAAAAATTCTGATTCGCAGCAGTATATTATGACGGTAGACGGCGGACCCCGTGCTGTTTGTACGTAAGTGTAAAATTTAACTCTAATGTATCAAAGTTATACCAAGTACGTCACTAAACTTCTCCTAAATGGTTGGACTGATTGTGAATGCCGAGTCTGTCGACCAATATTTCCTCCTCGTCCACGAATACGTGGCATCGTGATTGTTTTATGTACCATGTACGTAACTTATATGTGAGTATAATACTCTCAATATTTACGTAATTGTGATACATAACACAGCGTACAAAAAAAATTAAATTCATTGAATGAATATTCAAATAATTGAATATATAATTGCCATAATTGAATACACTTATTTCACGGCAACCGATAATAGTTTATAATAGTTTTAAAACCCATGGCAACCATTTATAAACAAAAATTTCCACCGTAAATCTCCAAATCCCCGTTTGAGCACATCCCCTGGTTGGACCTAGGATGATGATTTCTAGCCTATGTGTTATTCTGATGTATAAGCTATATTAATGTAAAGTTTCATTAAAATCCATTCAGTAGTTTTTACGTGAAAGAGTAACAAAGTCACAGACTTTCGCATTTATAATATTAATAGGATATATATTATATACATATCGACAAAAACTGGAAATACAAATCAACAAACATGCCCGATTAAATTATGGCAACCAATATATTATTATAACACACTGTTATTATTTTATCTGCAACAATAAACAATATTTGTTGTTATTTAGTTAATTTTTTTCTAGTGAACTTTCCTAAAAAATGTTCTTTCATAAAAACATTATTGTCCTGACAATTACGAATACAATAAAAAAAGAATCAGCCAAATCGGCTCAGCCGCTCTCAATTGTTGAATTAAGTTACATTTTTGGAAAAGATTTTTATACATATAGACGACGAATAAAATAAAATTGTGATTAATAAATCACTTGTAGGAGTATTTGGTATAACCTTGTGAAAAAAATTAGAAAAATAACTTCGGTAAGTTATACCCGATTTGTTGATTGAGAATGCATATTTTGAAAATCACAATTAAGTGATATACTTGCTGTATATTATGATGGCAACACTATATTATATTACATATGTATTAACAATACAAAGTATTTTAAAAAATCACATTTATGCAATAATCATGTAATATTGTTTTTAATTGCATCCACCTTTCTCAAGCAAATGTCTACTGCACAATATTTTTTCAATAAAAGTTGTTAGCACTTCTCAAAAAAACAATAAAGTACTGATCTTTTATAACTAATTAAATTAAATTTACTTCCCCATCTTTAGTATTCGGAAAATTATTACTACTATCCACCATCATTATTTCTACTATCATATGTAATGTAGTAACTGTGTACCTTATGTATTAAGTGCTTATTATATTTATTGTAATTATTTATGATAATTGCTTAATTAAGGCTTTGGGACAAAATGTATTGGTAATTTGAGTACCCTTGAAAAACCATCAGTAATTCGGATGAATCTCAAATCTGCACTGCAATATTAGTCTGAATATTCTTCCTGACTATCGAAATTCCACCATAGTATAAACAATATGTATTGTTATAATATTATCTTGTTTTTAGGTATACTTTATTTGGTTTGTACTTTGTACCAGCCTTCTCCGGGATCCTAAAATCCGTTCACTATTGAGCAATATTTAGAGGTGTGCGTTAAGAGAGGTTTCTCTATTAAATAATACAGTTAAAGAGCTGTTTTGCTATCTTTTATAATCACGAATGCATAAATAGCGAGTTAACCAAGCTGGATAGATGAATATTAGTGCTGTAGTTTTCATTATCAAAGTGTAACGAACAAACCAAAAAAGAAATAACACCACACGATACAAAATCGTAAAATTGTACGAATTCAATAAGCATTAGATAGATACGTCAAAAATATTGATTTCATTGTTAATTCAAAAGTTTTATTTTTAAATCAGTTTACAAAAACACGTAAAATTAATATTTATGATTTTATTACAAATAACATAATAATATAATAAAAACGCACTAAATGTTTTTATTTAGTAATATAATTTAATTTAATTAATGTACAATGTAGGTATGTGCATGAATAAAAACGGGAAATAAAATAAATGAAAATTCAAACGATTCGAACACACAATACGAGAGAAAATTTTATTGTTGTTCATTAATGGAGTAGGTATTTATACTTGTTGGATCGGAAAAAATTAAATAAACGAATAAAAAAACCGCATCCTACTTGATTAATTAATTTACAACCCTTTATAATATTATACGCTTCTCGATTATCGTTTTCTACATCCATTGAATATTTCAAACAGATTAACATATTATAATGTTATATATATATATAGGTACATTGTGAAATATCATGGTGGGTATATATAATATTATCCGACGACCCAGCTAAGTATAAAAATAAAAGAGCACATTAAAATGCACACATAACTAGGCAAAACACACGAAAAAACTGCCGGACCATAATATTACAAGGAGCAGCACTATTCACGAAAAATATTTCTTGAGAAAGCATAAAAATAAATAAAATAAATTTGAAGTTTAATAATGATGTTTGAAAGTACAATCATCCCATTTAAAATTGTACGTAGAAGTGCATGTTGTATTTTTCAGATCATTTTGAACAATATTGACAGAGTTATAGCCAATTTAACTAGAAATTAGTGTTGCACATTTCAATCATTTTTTTTTTTTTGGATAACATCTCTCTGGCCCGCACTGTCTGATACCAATGGCAACCAGAAAACGAAAAAAAAACGAGTTTGTTGGGATTATACAAGCAGCTAACCTCCTGATCGGCGTTCAACACACTGTCAGTATATGATTAAAGAATATGCTTTAAAAAAAAATTGGAAATCATCGAGGATTACATAAAAATGTATGTTTAATGATATTTTAATAATTGTCCAATGCCAACTAGAGAAACGTTTATTTTTTGATTAATTTTGCTCTGCCGTCAATCCAAATGTTGCGCGACAATTGTATGGAAAATTACTGTAAATTTTCGGGAACGGTAACGATTTAAATTTATCGGTTTGCGATGGGAACTCTACAACAACCGTATCGGTGATAAACCATCGACACCGGTCGCGGCGGTCGCCATAATAATAATATCAGTATAATATTATACGTATAATGTGCGTAATCAAAAATGGAAAAACAAATTTCCCGTTGAAACGTCGTCGTGGAATGTTTATTAATTTCGTGCCTCGGAGGAAATATCGTCCGATGATTAATTTCTCCCTACTAGTAAATCGATAAACGATATAATATTATTATGATATTACATTACAGAAACACTGCAAAGACGCGGCGCTCTATATTATTTTCGTTATTATAATTGTAATACTTTGTCATTTCACGTAGATGTCAACGCCACGCAGTTGAAGTAAAATTTCTGGATTCCCGGCAAAAAATATGTCTCCAGATATTTACAATAGTGTAGTATGCGGAGCATAAATGATAAATTGATAAATAAAATCGCCGTTTAGCGAACTAATAGACATTGAGATTTTGTTGTTGTTGTTTTTTTTTTTTGCAGACTTATTGCTAATCGTCAACCGTTGTGACCGGCCGAAAAAATCATCTGCCTATACATAATTTTGATGTCCGACCTATGTAATATTGTTACAGTATAAACCTTGATTTTGGACGACTCTGAGCGTTGGCGGTCGGTTCCGGCGCTACACTTTAAACGTAACTACTGAGCAGGACAGCAGGCAGGTTTCGACAATAATAATTAAGGCCGTCGTTTCGAACATCGAATAAACATTCGAAACGTCAACATTCCGGTGTTATTTTATGAGGCGGTAGGGTCACGGCGAGACCGCATACGAAACGTTTGAAATAATATCGACGAATATAATATAGTAGAGGGACTAAAATAATATTATATAAATGTTGGTTACCCAACTCCCAAAAAAAAATGTCGTTGCAGAGGGATTACGTCGAATTCATGAACTCGACCTACCGTTCCATTAAAAGCCAATGATCTATCATATCAAAAAAAAAAATTCGAAATCATTATAATATAATATGAAAACATCATATTATAAGCACGATCGTCTTTTACTTCTCGGCTGCTTCTTTAAAACCCGAAGCGGTAAAAAGTCGTGTATAACGTATATAGCATGCACCTATATCGTCGACGACGTGTGTTCGTCACCGCCTCTCGAATGAACCCCAAAAACATTAAAGGCGAACCTTTAATACTATAAAGTATATAATATGTTTTTAACAGTAATTAATTATTTACGGGCCTCTCAGTCTTTGACGACGGGTAATATATGTATACTACACACGCCGCGAGGGGTTCGTTTTTCCCCTCCTTCCTTGTCGGCGTCGGATCGGAGTGATGAGAACACGATGAGAGTTATTACGATGACGACGACGTAAGCGGCACAAAATGATTAAATTTTCATTTAATCCACTTCGTACCACTGCAAAAGGTTTTCGAACGACACCGGTGGAACGGTGCTTTTCGGGAGTTTTTGTCCCGTCGCATGATCACGCTTATAATAATAATAATAGTAATAAGGGCACGTTCTTATCAAAAACGATTTTAATTTAAATAAAAATATATAATTAAAGTACCTGTGGCCTATTTCGTGGGCCAGTATGTATACTGATGTAAAGCCCGCCGACGGGTACGGTTTTCCAAGAGCGTCTGTAGAACCGAACTCGGCGATAATGCACGAATACTTCTCCGAACAGACACCTCCCACGGTCGCCAAACCTGCGAAATATCAATATAATAACATCATCGTCTGCACAAACGATTCCAATCATAATTTTAGAGTAATTTGGTATTTTGCTCGTAACAACATCAAGTAGGTAAATCGATTTCATCTTTCAAATATTATGCTAGTTAGTGTATAATGTATAATTTTCGTCGTTCGGTATTTGGCCTGATTTATAATTTTGGAATTTAAATGAGGAAACAAAATAATATTATGTTGTGTGGCCGGTCTGGGCTTCCGCAAAGGACCTCATAACCAGGTAATAAATATAATTTCGTATCTTTTATTTTTATCATATTTTGCCCCACATAAATGTGTCTATTGTGTTCAAAGATGGTAAGGCCCGATAATTATAATAATTTTTTGACTAAACATATTATATTAACAGTTAACACATACTACCTAAACTTTATTATATTAATTCCACCACTGCTGTACATAAACATTCAGATTTAAATATGTACAGCTCATATAAATGTTTTACATTTTAAAACCTATATGGAGAATGAAATACAGAACAAGAATGGACAAATTGTCAGAGGAAAGACCATAAATATAAAGGAAAATCCATTTTTTTTAAATTTAGTCTAATATGAACAAAATAGCTGGGCAATTGATCAATATATTATGGAAGGCGCCACCACTGTTGGATAGGATACAGGGGATCGAACCATAATTTGAAAGAGGGATTATTTAACAGATTATGCCTGGTACGAAATGTAGAGTATAACACAATTACTGCTTGACCAACCTTTAAGGCATGGAGCTGTGGATGAATGGGAGTGTTGACCGAAATTATTTTGAAAACATATAGGAATATTAGGATTCCGGAAGGTTTTAATATTCCAGATTTCAAAAAAAATAAATACTTAAAACGCTTAAAATTACTTTCACTCAATATGAGTAGATATAACCAGGGGTTATCCCATCAAATACGGCTTTATTGTATGTTTGCGAACCGTATACAAACACTATCTTCTGTGCAGGAACCTGGAAAGTGACGTAAGCTGCACAACATCTAAATTGGGAAATTCAATATGTGGGCGCACGGGAATTGGGCCACAATGATCCTTTTTTTCAAAAAGATATACGGTAATTGGGCCACTACGTTTTTACATTTATAACAGGTACACGGTGATTAGGCCACTATTTTAGACGTTTTTTAGATTCTGAGTGGAAAGATGAATGTATTGATTTTACAATGATGTGTTTTTTTATTTATTTATTTATTTTTTTTGTGTCTGTCATCACCTTTTATAGGACAGTAAAAGTGCTTGGATTTTCTTCAACAGTACCTTTTCTGACAGGAAATTGAATCTAGTTGGTAATTTGGGGGGGGGGGTCAAAAGTAAAATGTTCTCAGTAGTTTTCAAAAGATCCGTGAAAAAAAAAGAAAAATTAAGGAAAAACGGGAATTTTTACGCAAAATCTGTTTTCGAGGAAATCGATTTTGGTTTTTGATGTAACTCTTAAACAAACGACCGTAGGTAAATAAAATTTTGACTGCATGTTTATATTAGAATTTTCTATACACCATAACATTTTCCAAATATTTTGACTTATTTTAAACTCTTTACGGACATTTTCAGTTTTCATTTTTTTTAGTTTTTTTTTTTTATAAATATCAATAAAGTTTTATCTGTTGTCCCAAAAAATTGTAAAAATTTAATAGAAGGCTCCTGATATTATTGTTACAATATCAGTTGAAAAATATTAAAAATACATGGGCACAATTTTTTTTTTTATAAGCATTTAAAGCTCGAATTTTGACAAAAGTTATCAAATATAAAATTGAATAATATTTTGTATTTAAAAATTTATAAAATGTTCAACTTTTATATCTAAGGATTGAAAATTTAAAACAAGATTTCACGTAAGTAGTTTATTCTGTTACCAAAAAATCTAAAAAATACAGAATCACAGTATATTTTTATAGTTATTTTAAGTTCAATATTGGACGAAATTACATAATAAAAATTCTAGAATAACTATTTTAGTTATTTTGTTGTGATTGTATAATATTATTTGTGGGTACTTGAAACTTCTAAAGTAAACTATTATATATCTATGAAAGTATCACAGTTTGTTGTTGATGTATAACGCGTTATAAGTAAATAATGGATATTGTGATAAGATTAATTTGGAATTTATTATAGGTACCTACCTATTATAATATGTCAATTTTTTTTAATATCATAGATAAGTATATAATATATCTTATACCTATACTGACATACTGTCTCCGCTCAGAATCGTTTTATTATACAATGATATTATATCATTGTATTCAAATTTAATACCATCCATTATACAGTGAACCACTTGTAACCTACTGTACAGCAGAGCACCTTTTTTATTATTGGATCTTGTAAGCAGAAGTTTATATTAAAATTCAAAGCGTTGGAACATTAAAACCCCGGAAATGAACTTTAATTCGAAATAATTATATTTATAATGAAAATAAAAAAAACTGAGAAGGGAAAAAACCAGATTTGAATTTACGAAATCTGTATCGCATTATTTAAAAGTAATTGTATTTTTAAGAAATTGAAAATAAAATTGAGTAAATATTTGATACATTTTAAGCACTTTATTTTGTATTTTATCTTTATTAACAAAAAAAAGTTTATATATATTCTATATCAGTACTGCTGTAATTAATACAATTTATATACTCGTATTTTTTGTATTATAGGTATATTTGTGGTATAATACCCGGGTAGTAAAATGTAAACATATTTTGTGTACGAAGCAGGTAGATAAAATGTGAACCAATCACCGACCGCCCCAATGTGTTTGTGCAGGCACACTTGCAGACATCAGCGTCAAGAGTATCAGAGCAACAGATACCGGGTTATTTACTTATTTCTATTATTCTTACCCATGGTGGAGCCACTCCAGTGTCCGTTTTCCGTCGCGTAAAAATCTAATCTGAAAAACAAAAACCATAATACATTTCATTATAGTCGTGACCATAACGTGATATTTTCAGTTGTAACAACAATTACAAAGGAATTAATTTTGCGAGACTAACTTAATTTAGTACCTACGGAGTACGAGGACTAGTATGTTCAAAAAAAATCTTGAATACCTGAGCAGTGAGCACACTGCAGTGTGTATAACTATAAGCTGATTAAGCTGACAATGACAAAAATAATAATTATTTTTACAATTACTCATACCAGTTTATACAACAATTTTTTAATGAGCATGTTATACACATTATGATAAGGATAACACTCCTCAGACATCGATAAGGTTTTATCGTAGGTAATTGTTTTGAGTCATATTCGTTTTCTCCGAAAACCAAAATTTGTTTTCATCATCAATACTGTTGTTCCAACCAATTTAAAAAGTTCGATTTTCGTTTTATTCAAAACCCACTGTTATTTTATAGTTATTTTTTAAATAAAAAAATAATAGTAATTTCACAAGATTCAGAAGTCACTAAGAAGAGAAAGCTCTCATTAAGTCTAAAATTGTATTCTTAAAAAAACGTATTTACCACCAATTGTATTAATAGGTATAACATTATGCAGTGGCACAACCAACTTATTTTCTAGTTGCACCACATATATTATGAGACATTTCTAATAATTTAATTACATTGTTTTTGTACACAATTTTCTAAAAGTATCTATACTTCATAATTTGTTTATCTTTATATTTTCATGTAGCATTATAAGTATTTTAAAGAATTATGTTTAACCACTACTTACACCACTCATATAGCTTACAATTCAACCTGTACTCGCTTAACATAGCTACATCTGTTAAAGATAGATATGTAATTTATATGTATGCGTTAAGCGTTTGGAGGAAACGACAGCCAGCGAAAACGAATAATTTTTTTTGCGAATTTATAGTATTTTAACGTATTATTATAATGATATAATAATATCTACCCCGAAATATAGAGTCCAATATCCCATTGTTCTTGTTTTCGATATTTCTTGTTGAAGGCGCAAAACGAATCCAATAACAAACTTCTCTCTCCGCGGTAATGCGGCAAGTCATCCGGCTGTTTTTTGAACATTTCCAGTTTGACCAAGACGATTTCAATTTTTTGTCCCAAGCTCGGGTGATGGTATAGTACTTGAACCTGAAGTCGAAAATCAACTATTAAGTTCATTTATACATCCGAAAACCAAAGGTAATTTGAAAAGTAGATGTTATATTATTATACACAAATATACAATACTACTAAAGACATTTGAACTTACGAAATTTCGATATATTTCTCAAAGACATATATTATTCTTATCTCATTGGCGTCAACACTGTGATGGCGAGTAAAATATTAATTTATTAATTTAAACAATTTAAGAGCATGATTTATTACAATAAATATTATGATATTATATTATAAAGTGACCTTGTTAGACTCTTACTTTATTCGTATAGAAGTGATATTTAAGGCTTTTTTTTAAGTAGTTATGCGCATCCTACGAGTGAGTGTATTATATTCAAACAAATAATTAAAGTAAAAGTATAAGGTTAATTTAAAAATTTTTTTTGTCGTTCAAGTAAAACAAAATAACAACTGTTTATTTAATTTCTTATAGAAACTATATAGGTACCATGCTAAATTTTTATCCCTTAATTTGTTTGTTTCATTTTAAAATATCCTATAAAAAACATGATTGATAAAGCTTAAACTAACGAATCTATTCGTTAATATTAAATAAAAATAGTTGATGGACGATGGAAGTTATTAAAATATTGATAATTTTCTCATTTAAGTTAACTTCACTTAACGAAAATACCAAGTAGCTTAAAAGTAACTCCAGCCTTAATGAAAAAAAGAAGAAATAGAATTCTTTCAAAATAAATTAAATATGTCAGAATAAATGTAAAATTAAATATAGTTAAATAACAAAAAAAAAATGTAATTTATTAATAAAATAATAATTTATAATACTTATTAAAACTGTTGAGCTTATAATAATATTATATATATATATATTATAATGTTACGCACGACAATATTTTCATAATTCATATTAAAATATACAATTAACTCTGGCATAGTAGGTAGTAATATAAAAGAAAAAGTTCCGACAAATAAACGAACTCGTTTACCTTTAGAAAGTTTTTATAATGTAATTTTTATAATTAAAAAAAAAACTATAAAGAAGAATATATATTATGTTTATTAATATAGTATTTCATATTTTTTTTTTTTTTGATTTAAAAAAGTCTATAATAAATATACTTGACGAATTTTAATATTCTTGGGTACATAACCCACACATCAAATCTCATATAGTGATGCAATATTGGATGTTGGGTAAATATAAAAAAAAAATATTTTAATGCTTTTCACTTATAATAGTGGGCATTGGTGGGCACAACTTTGGGTGACCCGGGATGTAAAATATAAGGTGCACCACGATTCACGAATATTAATTATCTTTCAAGTATTCTATTGTGATTTATATGCTGTATATTGTAGAGTCTTAACAAAATGTAACTCATAACAGCGTTTAAATTTGATCAGCTAAAGGCATTCATATAATATTTCACAATGAGCTTGCATAATTTTTCATGAGAACCATCAATGTTCAAATTAAACTTTCGATTTAAGAGTTTAAAATTGCTGTTGTCGGTTATTATATCTTACCTAAATATAATGACTTTGACACTTTGTAATATATAATATAATAATATTGTAATTAGTATTATTAGAAAATATAAAAATCATCAAGCATGTAATTTATAAAATAAATATTGGATCTAAATATTGTCGTTTATATAAGTATAGAGTGACATGCCAAATACCAATTCATATTTTTGATCTATTACCTATATCATATCCAATCTTAATTTTATTTGTAGTTAAAATATATTCTTCACTACCGGTATGGTTTTTTCAGTGAAATATCTACAGACAAAATTAAGTCACATAGTTTTTGATTGCTGAAACTCTATAAAAATAATATTGATTACACGAAACTCAAATAAAATACAAAGCCCCAACGGCCTTACCCGATACATACCCAATAATTTTGAGGCTTGTAAGATGTAGCAAAAACCCGTAACCCATAAATCTCTTTGCATAAGCGCTGATTATAACCGATGTATTTTCATTATCGATTTCGACGTTCTATGAGTCATTTTATTAATGTACGATAAGAGTTTATTAATTGTATCACTCTCTATAATAACTCACCAGAATAGTGAACAAATAGAAATAGTAATATTTTGTTAATCGGGTATTGTGGACTTCATCGCGTTTTAAAATATATTGGAATTATTATAATATATTGTCTGCCGATACATTTCAATATTATATAATGATATTAATTTATATTATCATCATTGTATGACGTCGATGCTATAATAGTATAGAACATATAATAATATACTCACGGCGTTGACGTAAGCGAGAATCATATCGGCGAGGTGTTCGTCGTCGTGTTTAAAGTACTCCGAAAACGTTTTGTAGGCCGCTTCGTCAAAATAGAGCGCCGTCTCCAATACGGGCACAGTCGCTGCAGCCACCGCCGCCGCCGCCGTTCCATCATCGTCGTATTTCGTGTCCTCTACCTGCGTGGCAAAATATTTAATTAAAACCCTGCAGGGTGGAGTAAAACCCGAACGGAGGGACGGGGAAAGGAGAAAACGCGACGACAACGACAACAAAAAAAAAAAAAAAAAACCTTACTAATTTTTATACTCACAAAAAGGTCTGGTGACATGAAAGCATAGTTTTCGCCGGGTCTTCGCAATACGTCTGAGGACGAGAGAAAAAATAAATAAATACAAACTGTCAAGAGGAATATATTGTATTAAAGTCCTAAACGTCGTCGGGGCCGAATGAAGAACGGGAATTACAGAACTTAAAGTTTTTCCTTTTCTCTTATTTATTTATTTTCCGTTTTTATAACGCGCCGCCGTGTCTTCGGAAGTCCTATCACGCTCGGCTGTTGATGGTAGGTATATGACGTATAAGCAGTAGCCTTAATATAATAATATTATACTATATTATATAGGTATAGGTACATCAGAAACACATAGAAACAAGAAACTTATATCGTCACGACTTGGCCGAACATGGACACAATTAGATCATGGCCTTGGAATGTCAACTCCTCCTGCTTAAATTTTAGTTTACTATGCAATTTTCGGATGTACCACGTGCGCGTTGCTCGCCAATCGAACAATATAAAATTCACAAGTTTTTTTCTCTACAATAGAATATAAATTTATAGAAAACTCTTAATATATTCCTTTGCCATACACCACAATATGTTAATAAAGTATAATATAGGTCATAATAAGTTGTACATTTTCCATACGAACATATTATTTATTTACCTAGGTATTTAAATACGACTCTAGTCAAATGAATGTTTTTCTTACGAGCTTTTTAAATAATATTTTTCAATAACTACTATAATAATGTTATATTTATTTTTTACCTATAACCTGCGTATATTTCTCATATAAAAGTAGGCTAATAACTAATAAGTAATAACCATCGTTCTCGAATCCCTAACAGATAATATTAAAATCAACAAAAAATAAAAGCAGGTAAGTGTATGTCGCTCTGCTGTACAGTAGGTTACTAGTGGGTTATTGTAAAATGGATTGTATTAAACTTGAATTCGGTGATATGATATCATTGTATAAGAAAAACGATTCTGAGCTTAGACGGTTTGTCAGTCTGGATATTTTATATTGTTTTTATTTTTTATTCGTTTCTATGGTGATACACAAAGCATTAGAAATTAAAATCCCATTTTTAGTGGTTTTTTGTAATTTGTCAGTGGTTTTTCCCCTGGCATTAAATAACTATTCAGAAAATCGAAAAATGACGTCTCTACTCTAAAGTACCATCTTGATCAAATTTTCTAAAAGATAAGATACTATATATTGAAATCGAAGCACTCCTTCTGGTAGAAATTTTGTATACAGGATAAAAAATAAAAAAATAAAAAAAAATAAACACCATTGTAAAACCACGGGCTTCCTCGCTTCGCTCAGAATCTAAAATAATAATTATACAATACTATAATGTCCATTAAATCTTACCATACTATAAAAACGTAGTTTCACATCCAGTAAACAATAGCTGTTATTCAACGATAAAATAATACAGTAAAATATTATAATCAATTATTTTCCTATCACCTACCAAACATGGTTATGACTTATTATGATCGAATGAGAAAATCTTCCGGCGTCTAATTATTTATATTTCTCGTATCGTTTAATCCGACACTAAAATTATTAAAATTAGTTAACACTATAGCAAAAACAAATATTATAATAAGAAATATAAATATAACATTTTGATAATATGTAGAAACATAAAATACTTCCGGGTCTATGATTTTATTTTGATATAAAAATGTTCTTTTTCATTCCTAAATACTGGTCATGCAGTGTTATTGTCAGGGGTTTTCACTAGAATTAACATACATTTAATCAAAATGCGAGATTCGAAGAAAGCTGTACTTGGGACTTGTATAATTTGAGCGCGTATACACCGGAACAACATAACCATCACGCGCCCTAAAATTTAATTAAAATATTTATTGAAGAGAAACGAATATAATCACATACATACATGTTCCAGGAAATAAAGAATACAATACAATACATTTTAATTATTAAAATAATTATTGCACTCGACGTACGCGTATAATAATATATAATATAGCGATATTATACACTTATGAATTATTCAAACCGACGTAATAATATTTCTTGGACTGAAATCCCAGAAAAAAAATATGGAAACGACAGTACGTTACAGTTTCAACGATGTTGAAATTGCATTTGTATTTCGTTTAGCGTACTTTTAGAGACGTTTCAGAATAACTGCGTGTGAAATACGTTTTTTTTTTTTAACGCAATTCACGCGCGTTATGTGCTATATAAATATTAAAAAGTTTTCCGCAACGTATAATATACGTACGTACACGTATATGATATATAGATAAGTCGAAAACTTAACATCGATTCGATTTTTATATTTCCTCGAAAAGTTGCCAAACATATTATTATATGCAGCAAGCACTGCTGCAGTCTCGTTTTGTTCGTTTGTGTCCTTCCGACTCCGTGTGCCACTTTGCTACAGCTGTATGCTATTAACACGATATCTTTTTATCGCCACTTGCCTGCTATCATAATAATAGATCGTTACGGCTTATACGTTTGTACTGCACATCGCCTACAACTAAACCTGGCCGATTTTAAATAGATTATGTATTCGACGTTTGCTAAAATATAATCACGTACTGCATGTAGTGTTTGAAGTATGTGAAATATTTCATGAAATATTTCAAATGAAATATTTCATTTTGAAATATTTCACTAAGTTGTGAAATATTTCACAAAAACGTGAAACATTGAAATTTTTTTAACACAAATAAAAACACAATTTATTTATTTTTTTAACACAATGTTCAGTGTTCTAAATTCTAATGCCAGAATTCAGTAAGTATAAAATATGCATGTATAATATTGTATACCTACTTATATCATTTAAACATTAAAATATTTAAACATTTTGAATACCAATTTAAATGTATAATACCAAAGGTTAGGTATACATACAGGTACCATATAGTGATGAAGGTAATTTATGACAATTATATGTAAATATAAAACTTATTTAAAAATAAAACAAAATCTATTAAAATACTGAAATATTTCACATATTTTGAAATATTTCATGAAATATTTCACGAAATATTTCAGTATTTTAATCTATTTTGTTTTATTTTTAAATAAGTTTTATATTTACATATAATTGTCATAAATTACCTTCATCACTATATGGCAACTGTATGGTCTGTATGTATACCTAACCTTTGGTATTATACATTTAAATTGGTATTCAAAATTTTTAAATATTTTAATGTTTAAATGATACAAGTAGGTATACAATATTATACATGTAGATTGTATACTTACTGAATTCTGACATTAGAATTTAGAACACTGAGCATTGTGTCAAAAAAATAAATAAATTGTGTTTTTATTTGTGTTAAAAAAAATTTCAATGTTTCACGTTTTTGTGAAATATTTCACAACTTAGTGAAATATTTCAAAATGAAATATTTCATTTGAAATATTTCATGAAATATTTCTCATACTTCAAACACTAAGTCTGCATGTGTCGAGTGACCTAGCCGATGCGAGGAAAATCTTATCTTAAACGATCTGCAGTAAACGTAGTCCTATGATAAATGAAAACATTTAAACCTATATTAGGTCCAATAATAGGCGTTTTCAAGTAATATTGCCTAAAACTATGTCAAATGTATGATGAAAAAATAATTCGAAGTGAAACTCGAGCCTCTACAATTATGCAAAGGCCAGCTGTTTACCCCTATGTTTATATATTTATATAATTATACCTATACTATTATTATAATAACGATGTTAACTGTCACTATTGCAATTATCACGTTATTCTATATCTCATTATAGGCGTGTAAATGGGGTGTGCAGGGTACAAGGGTGAAGGAGGGTTATATAGGTACATATAATAGTTATATGTTCATTAGGTTTTCTTAAAATTTAAGTTTAATCAATGGACCGAGCTGAAAAAGTAAGTACCCGTAGTTGAGATTGGCGTTTATATCTTTATTATGCTTATCGTGTGTACAATACCTATGCTTATAATTTTAGAATGGTACAATATTAAATTTGTTTGTAATTTCTATGTATATCCATCTGCTATATCATAGATGAATGTTGTACTCACTGAATCCATCGGTCCACGTGTGATTTATCGTCGGCGCTCGTTTCAAAATGAACGCATTTCTACCATCGTCGTCACACCGATACCGACAAAGCCTGGCACTTACGGACTGCAGTTCGTACGTGACGTCCGAGAGAAAGACAATACCGTTCTGTAGATAATAAGAGAAAACGATTTATTAATATAATATAATATCGACGAATATTGTATTATTATCGAATTTTGCAGTTGCACTGGTTCATAGATAATAATAGATATATTATGGAAAGGCCATGTCTATATTAACAATGTATGGGGCCAAAGTATTTTTTTTTTCTGGAAAGAGAAAATATCCTATAAATAAATTACCTACCTTTGAGTAATTTATGACAGTACTTTTTACTTGTATTAATAATAAATATAATACCTACTTTAATTAAATATAATGACCCCATGTAAACTTATAATTATTATTGTTAGTAATAAATGACCACATGATAATCTCCAATAGCCTATTCACTTCTATATTATCTATTCTCCGGTCACGAACAGTGTTCGAACATGTGGCTCACTTTTACAACTTACTTTGGAGCTCCCCGGACAGTACGTAAACGCTGCGGTCACTCCACCGTCTCCGGTACGACTTATCCGATGCATGTAATGACATCGTCTCGGTGACTTTTCCTCATATGTCACCGACTCGGAATCGTCTCGTATTTGCCACACGAAATTTTCGCCGATCAACCGGTCGTTGGGTTCCAAGAACAATTGCACTGATCTATGTATAACAAATGTAACATAATATGTAAATGTTAAGGTGTATGACCGCATGGCAGTAAATGTTGACAGTCACCGGTGTATGTCGACATTCACTAATCATTTTGGTGAATGTTATCAATTATTTCAAATATCTCACAATGCGGACATTTACCAGTATTTGTTGACATGCACAATAGTTATTTAGTGAATGTTGACATGTGTGACAACGACAACATAACATATAATCAAATAGATAGTTAATAAATTCATAAATAAATATAGTTGAACAAATTAATTTTTTAATATTTAAGTTTAAGTAGTATAAGTTTATACTTTATTAAGTTTTATTTATTACACATAAACTTAAAAATAACATAACAACTTCATATGTTATATTTTTGAATTTGTTCTGCAATTCGTTCATCATTATGGTTTTTATGACCAATTTTTATATGAGCTTCGAACATAATGTCGTATAGTTCTTCGTTTTTTACATAGTAAATAATTTTAGTTTCACCTGCTTTTAACGGGACGATTAGTTTATGATTATCCGTAATATCCATAACGTCAAATCGATTTAATCGTCTGTAATCACTTCGTTGTTTATTTTTTTTTGCTTTAGCATTTATAACTTCACTTATATATTTATTATATTTTTCAGTGCTTAAATAAAAACAATTATCTTCCCTTTTTTTAATAAAAGTGCACTAAACTTTTCATAAAAAATATCTTTTATACTTTTATTCATTATTAGTTTTAATTCGAATATAATATTAATAAAATATTACACTAAGGCCCGTTGTATTACACTAAACTGTTGCGCTCGGTTTAGAATACGCGTCGATACTGACGAGGGTATATAAGTATATTTATATTATATTATCTAGCAAACGATTGACAATCGGATTGTCTCATGCGATAACATTACGTCGCCTCAGAATGAAAAGGTTCTAAATCAATTTTTTGAAAAATGGTTTTTTTGCATATAATCATTTATAATTTTTTATTGTATAATTCAATCTTGAAATCGGATCGATCCGTTGATTATTCAATGAGATACAGAGAATGAAAAGGTTCTAACTCATAAAAACGTGAATGATAAGCGCGAAACCGAGAAATATCAGTTACAACCTTTTCATTCTAAACAATAATTAAGAATGAAATAGTTCTAAACGGTCTTAAATGTAATATCTCAGAATGAAAAGGTACCGTAATAATACAGTTATACCACTGGTACAATATAAATTATTATTGTGCCATAATAAAATATTATTCCAGCATTCCAGCATAAATTTACCGTCTATTTTTGTTTTGTTGAGGTGATAAGGTAGGTAATACCTACATGCCACATGTATACAGTACCTACTTTAGTATTATAAGAAATGGTACATTTAAATTTGAATTACGTTTTTGACATTTTTCATTATTGTGAATTATGATTTATGCCATTTAATTTATATTGTTGCGTTTTCAATATATCCCCCTTCCCTACACTAATTGCGCCAATGGACCATACAATTGTAACTTATTACTTATAGTAGGTATGTCCAGGCACATACACAACAAAAAAAATTCGGTGGGTGGGGGGACCCCCCGCCCACTACATATACGGGTATGTTATAATATAATAATACTTAACTTAAAAACTAAAAATATTGCATAATAAAAAATGTATAATTTATAACATAGTTTACACTAGAAGTTGGTATCACTGCATAGAAAAAATGATTCAAATCAGAATGAAAAAGTTCTAACTAAATAAATAAATTTAATTTTCAGAATGAAAAAGTTCTACACGTAAAACCTTTTAATTCTAAAACTAATATCTTGGTTTTTTATGATTAACTCAGTCAATAATTGAGGAAAGACAAATTGCAGATAAAGTTGTGTTCTCTGGAACTTTCTTGATATTGCATACAATTTTCACGATTTAGTAATTATGGTGAAAAAAGTTATTCGATGTCCTACTTAAAAACGTTCCCCTGAACAATTACATAAATTGCGTTAGAACCTTTTCATTCTGAGACGACGATTACTAACGTCCAAACGTCTCCAATGCATATTGTGGATACATTGTGCTTCAAGTGTGGTCAACATTTACCAAACATTGACTGTAAATGTCAACAATCACCGGTGTATGAACGCATTAAGACAATTTCGTCAACATTCACTACGGTTTTTGGTATATGTCAACCTACACCGGTGACTCTCAACATTCGCCTACTGCGGTCATACACCTTAACATATACAACAAATAACGATAACCAATACGACGGAATACACATTAAATATATTTTACATTAATTGGTCATAAAAAAAAACATAACAATAGTCTTGGCTAAATAGACATGATTTAAAAACATATTTTTACTTGAAGAGAAGTCATTGACCGTAGTGGTCGAATATTAAATAATATATTACCCGTCGAAAAATTCCATGTGTCATTGCTTAGACACCAAAATAGAATAGAATTTTAAATTTTTGCATTAATCGACAGGAGTAAACGCGAATGAGTAATAATTATATTATAAAGCTCAATTTTTAAAACGAGCCGGTCGAGCTTATACACAGATCCGCCTGTCCAGAGTAAGTGTTGTACACACAATACTCTATAAATCTTTGGAAAAATGTTGCCTTGCTCACAAATTTAAAGTTTCATGGTGAGTTCAAAAAAACACACAATTTTAATAAATCGGTTCTTCCTCGTATTATTTGGATAACGTGAAAAAGCATAATATAATGGCGGCGTTCTACATGAACCCAAACACGGATACCGTGGTTTGTGTAGATATAACCTCATCCATTTTATCTGGTCACATATTCAACTCTTATTCTATTGATATGTATTTAACAGGTATATGGCATACTTAATAATTATGGTATAGGTTTGCAGTTTGCATGCATATCGGGGAGGCGGAAAAAACGTTTTGTTCTTTTCGATATCGTAATTGTTATTCGTCGTCGTTTGGTAAATATTTACTAAAATGATAATATTATAGCACATATTATGCAAGCACACTGAATAAGTACCTAGTGGATTTCAAACGTCCCGGGACAAAGCGTACTGCCGCAGGAAACAACTCTCAAGTGGTCAAATTGGGTATAAACGAAGATGAGAATATATCTCAAGTCGGACACGAAAAAATCTCACTCGAGATAAAAAGAAAGTTTTATTATACAGCGATCAAAGTGACGCGTTGGCTGTATATATATATAAATGCAAGTGTGCACGACGATTCGCAGTGCTACGGGCGGCGGGAGCAAAGAAAGAGTCGAAAAAAAGCTAGTGATTAAGATGGAAATGTCCAGATAGGCCAACGAGGCCTATATACATATACGTGTTTCAGTGACGAGGAGTATATAATATATAAAAACAACTTTATCTATGTTGTCGTCCGGCTTCAAATTAAAGTGGACCCATTAAGATAGTGTAATAATAATGAAGCACGCGAGACGACGGTATGATACGCGTGTGACTGGAATAGACACGATGATAAAATGTGTAAAAAGAGATTAGGTACTAATTATTATTATTATTAAAAATAAAACAACGGAGTAAATAATGCGCACAACGTCCAAGAGCGTGCTCGCTGATATGAACATTTGACGTCGAAAAATGTCATTGCGTAAACGATATGCAGGGCAGAGCGACGACGACGATAATATACCGTCCCTCGAGAAAAATCATTACTACCTAGGTACCCACTTTTTCCAGGGCTTATAATAATATTATCGAAATCAGAATTTAAAATATATTATTATTATTATTATTATTATAGCACACCTACGACGCCGAACCTATATAAATACACACAAACACATATTATAATATACCTAATATATATTATATATGTGTAGATCGAAGGGATGATATTGATGTTTTTTAATCTCGGATATTCCGTCGCATATTTGGGAGTAAAAACTCTATCTATTTATGACGGGCTAGCCATAAAACCGGAACCCTTGTCCAATTTCGGTGGGTGGAATAAAAAACCACGATGAATAAATATAAATGTTTTTTCCCCTATATATATATGTATATACCTATATACACCGAAATGGGCCAATTTCATACACTGATACATCCGAAATGGGTACTTTATCCCCACTGCATTGCTGTTAATATTTTCTCGATCCGTAACACTTTTTTATAGTCGGTCATCTTCTAAATGAATATTGAAAAAAATAAAAGTTGGTGGTTTTAGTCATACCTAAAAAATTAGAAAATATATACGTGATCATATTTCGAAATATTCGCTGACACTCTATTGTTGAACGCACACCGATCAATCGTGTTTATTTTGTGGGAAGTGATTTATTAAAATATGAAACGGAGAAAAGAAAACTGATTCGATTTTCAGCCATATACCCAAATTTGAAAGTTGTTGCAGCATATAATATAATACTATAATGATACACAAATGTGTAAAAATCAGATTTTTCCCAAGGCTTCTTGAAATGACGTTTAATGTTACTTTTGAGTTTGAATACACCTAAAAAAATATTATATAAAATGAAATATCGAACTAAATGAAACTATTTTAAGTTTGGTGGAGAGAAGTTGCACATCGATGACTCGGGGGTTGTACGCTATCATGGCGACTGTCACTGCCACTCCTGATGAAGGCATAAATAAGGTACATATAATAATAAATTGGTTCCATATTATTTTATGACGATGATTATTAAAAAAAAATATGTACTAGGTACCTATATAAAGGTCGCTATTTAAATAAATAAATCGATATGACAAAACACATTGCACAAGAAACGCATACAGTGCATATAAAAGTATAAGTATATAAAGTGTTACAAGATGAGGAAAATATGCTTTTATCGTATTATTATAATTCGATTTGAAAAAATAAAAATAAAAATCAAGAATTGACTGAGAAAACGAGTCTTGCGTGAAAAATATAGTCACCCCGAGCGGCGGCAGAACATCTCGTACGAATGTTTCCGGTGGGCCGGGGCAAAGAGATTGCTATGGAAATGCTATTTTTGTTATGTTTGTATCTC